TAAATACTTGGAAATGATCATATTGCCCTTAAGTATTTAGTCAGGATTCTGATATTTGGCATATTATGAGATTGGTTGATTTCCTGGGTCCTCCTGAGATCTTTGCCCACGGGGAAGAAAGAGAGAGTATGGATAAAAAGAATTATTGTTATTTTTTCTGTTGGCCTTGATACTTTAGTTCTGATGGGCAGGGACTGATTTCAGGATGTGCTCTCATGTTGGTCCTTCCATTTTGGTTTCTTATCTGCAGATAGTGCTGCCAGCCATCTGAAGTCCTTACTCCATGTCAGCACTGGCACAAAGCACTTTAAAAAGGAGCAGTTTGGTTTACATTTCACTGCCAGCATCCTGAACTGATGGGGAATTAAATAGGAAATAGACTGCTTAAGATGTGAGTGGCCCAAGGATGGTGAAGTAATTAGAGCAGCCAGGATAGCAAAGCACATTGGTGCCTTGGAGGCTAAGAAGTAGATAGAAGGAATATAGTCATTGACTGATGGCAGCAAACAGTGAGGTGTTTGTAGTTTATCCTTTGTCTCTAAGCTGTTTTTTAGGAGGTATCTTTTCCTCCTTCAGATTAAGGTATACAGATCATGACTGCTTCAGAAAAGCTGGAATTATTCCAGTAAAAATGATGCCTTCAGCCTACTCCATTGCTATGGCTCCCATTGGTACATTGGGGGATGCCCCTGAATAGTTAACCTGAAACAGAAGGTTGCAAAAGGAGTTCGGAGTAGACCCCTTAGCTTCTTTTTTTCTGCTAAAGCTCTAAATTGCCCTCTACAAGACTGTCTGATTACTGTTTTGCTCTCAGTACTTACTGTCTCTTTGCATCTAACTTGGGAGTGCATATATGAGTTAAGGATAAGACTACCCCTATCACATTCCAGTTCTTTTGTTGCTTTTATTCCTCATGTACACTATGGTTCATTGAAAATGTGACTGGACCAGCCTGGTCAAAAGTATTACACTGTAATGTCACTTTGTCACGATTCTAAGGGCTATAAACTCCACAACCTTTACTTATTAAAAAGTCAGAAAATTCTGATCCAGCATGTTTACTTAGCAGATTCACAAGATTTAGCAGAGAAGAAGTTAAAATGCTATTTCTTTTTCAAAACTGTTGAAACAGGGTGTAGTGTAATAGACTTATTAGAAGCTTTATGGTAGTGCCCATACCATTTAGTCTCTTACTTCATATTCTTCAGTCAAAATAAAAAATAAATGTCTTCTCTCTCCAACTTCCCATTTGATAACTTTGGCTTTCTTGTGAACTTCTTTGCTTTGGAAACTGGACTGTGGGCTATTAAGTCTTTAGTTTTCTTTTCTTGAATATCCAGGACCCATGTTTTAAATTATGGGACTATGTTTTTGACTACTTCATACTTGAATGATTCTTCTCCCCTCTTCACTGCCTGCTTTCCCCAGCCCCCCCCCCCCACCTCTCCATATGTTTTTGACTTTTGTAGAAGGAATAGAAGATTGTTTATGTACTGGTATGTTATTGGCTTGGGGTTTCAGGAGTAGCTTTGTTTGAAAGAAAAAAAAAATCCTCAGCATTTTCTAAGGTAAGGTGAATTACCTAATTAAGGTGCTTTATCTTTTCCTTTTCATGTATATTGCTTCCCTCTCCCCCTACTCGCCTCCTGAAAAGAGTAAATTTTCAACATTGAATATTTTCAAAATGTTATTTATGATCTTAGTTGTGAGGTACATTGTATATTGTTGGCAGATAAGCTTTGAATATTATTTAAGCTGATGATTTCTCCTTTGGCAATATAGATGCTTTCTCTAAGCAATAGTTATATTTTGGTGTGTAAAAGGAACAGCTCTGAGGACCACATCCGTCATTTGTCCTGAAGGCCAAATGCTAAGGAATGAAGCTGGTTGCTGTCCACCATTGAACATTGAAAGAGGGGAGATGGTGCTAAGTTTTTACTATTGTCTTAGCCATTCTGGTGCCTTTAATTCATCCATCCTGAGTTCTAACTGCATCAGACACTGGCTTACTCATGTGGTTTTAAAATTAGTCTGATTTTTCTATTTAGGATGACTACCAGACTTCTAGGAAGTTTGAGAAGCAATAGGTATTCCGTGGGTAACCCAGGCAGGCAGCTGTCAAATGAAAAACTTTATGCTTCAGGTTTTTTCATTTGTATATATTTTTGAAAGCATGAAGAATTTATATAGGTTTGACTGTTGTTTGAAAACACCATAATGAATGTATAATTAACAGTATGTGAAAGTATTAACACTTAGCTAAAAGGGAAGCTCTTTGCATTGGTTCTCTCTTACCCCTCAATCCTCCACAGCTGTAGTGTCATATTTATCCTTAACTTTGGCTGTTACTTCAGATCCACTTAAACATTTCTATCAAATCAACTCATGGTAAAAAATTATTTACTAGAATCCCACTAAAGCTTGTTCTTCAGAACTGAAAAGTTACACAGTTTAGTCACATGGATCAGTAGTCTTACAGCTAAAGAATGGTCTTAAAATTGCCCCACTTAGTTGCCAGTATTTAGAAGATACAATTTACAAATTTTTTTTCCCCTTTGGATAGCATCTTTACTAATCTTTAAGCTTTTTTTAATCACATTTTTTATTAAAAACATTTCCCCTAGAAACTGAAGCCAAGATTACTACTTCACCATAAAGGTGCTTCTTCCACACTCAACTATTAGATATAGACCTGTGTGAGAACTTGAATGTAGGTGAGATTGTAGTCTAACCCCTGATAAAAAATGACAGCTTTTATTTGTGAAATGAGAAAGAGCATTTTCAAGTTTGTAGCCCTTCCTCCTCCTTCTTCCCCCACTTCAGCCTTTTAAATCTTCAGTTTTCATGCATTTTTCAGAGTTGCATGTCCTGAGTCATGCCTGCAGAAGGTATACTCAAGTAATGCACGCACTGCACCAGTCAAAAGGTAACAGTCCCAAACAGCATTTTGGACACTTGTTTAAATTTGAGACATTAGTGCCAAACTGAAACTTACTCAGTCCTTCAGTGAAGTGTTTCCGTTACTAGAAAACCCCTAGGTTGGGCTAGGTATCTCTGTAGGTACAGTCCAAAACTTCAGCCAGTGAAAGAACTGCTTCTCACTGAGCCAGTCTGCAGTATTCTGAGATGACCTGTGAAGGTTTCACACAACGTATTTGTGATAAGGCTGCGAGTCATGTTTTAATTGTTACTTTTCTGAAGTGTGCGATGTTTTGGCAGTGTCCATACTGTACAACTCATCTATGATACAATTATGCAAAATCCAAATAATTGTTGTGAATAGAAAACAGTTGAAAAGGTCAGTTTAATTTTTCAATGTAAATATGTATATAATTAAAATGATTTGTTTTCATATTTGTAGTATGTGTATGATTAAAATGTTTATCATCTTTGATAAATGCATGTAAATATGCAACCAGAATTACCGTAGTGGGGGGGGGATTAGAGTTAAATTGTTAGTGTGAATAGAAATTATAGCTGTCAGAAAGTCTTGCTGCCTTGTGTCCTTTGATACATCAGTTCACCTTTCTGGGTTTTGGTTTCCTAATCTTTAAAACAAGTGTTGGACTGCTACTGATATCTAAGGTCTTGTCTAGCTCTAAATCCAGTGATCCTGTATTATAGGCAGAGTGTCCCTGACCCAGGTACTTTGAGAGTTTGGAAAGGACTTCATAGGACTCCATTCCACCTTCCCCAGTACGTGGTTATCCAGCCTTCATTTGAGACCTCATTGAGGCCCTCTGCACAGATCCTTTTTCTTATAGCCTCTAAATCTTCCATAAATTCCTCATAGGAGTTTCTATGCAACACTGTAGGCCTTATGATAATTTGTAGACAAATTAGTGTTGCTCCAGTACAGTTCATTAAGCCTCTGAGGCCCCTTCTCGTGTGCAAAGCACTGTTGGTAATATGCCATTGGCTACTTAAACCATGTGATAGCCCTACAAATAAAACCTCCCTGTTTCCTCTAGGCAAAACCTGTAATTGTTGGCTATACCATCTCAAGTAGCCATTAGCCAAGATGCTTGCTTAACCTCGTTAATAAGCCTTTATTCTTATTTGTGGTCGTCGTTTTAGTCATGTCCAACTCTTTATGACCCCATTGGGGGTTTTCTTGGCAAAGATACTAGAGTAGTTTGCCATTTCCTTCTCCAGCTTGTTTTACAGATGAAAAACTGAGGCCAGCAGGCGTTAAGTGACTCACCCAGGGTCACACAACTACTAGTGTCTGAGGCCAGTTAGGAACTTGGGAAGATGAGTCTGATTTCAGGTCTGGCACTTATCAGAACAGGTAAGAGTCATCGTTTCTGAATACTAAAGCAAATTCACTCCATAACCCTTTCACAGAGTTATTAGCCCCTTGTTATATCTCATTTTGTGCACCTGTTTTTGACCTAAGAGGTCAGCCACCTTTTGGAAGCTGCCCATACTCTCCTCAAACTTCCTTGTTTCTGTTTTTCCCCCGACTTGATTCTAGGCCCTTTCCCACCTTGATCTTATCACTGTTCTATAAAGATGACTCTCAAACTTACATACCCAGTCTATACCTTTTTTGAGCTCTGGTTCCCATCTACAACTACTTGCCGGTGCCCTTCCTAAATGTCTGCAACTAATCACAACATGTATATAGTGGAACTCACCTTGCTCACTAAACCTGCCCCCTTTTCCAGCTTCCTGATTTACTTTGATATTATTACCTCATTCAGGCTGTAAGTCTGCCATTTTAAATGTTTCTATTACCTAAAACATCTACTTGTCAATTCTAAATGTCTGTTCCTCTAGCTTAGCTTTAGACCTGATATCATACTCCTCCCAGCCCCCACACGCTTATACTATTCATTACCCTAATTTGGGTCATCACTGCTCATTTGGATTATAACAACCTCCTAATTAGTTTCTATTTCCAGTGGCGAGTCCCTTAACAGTCTATGCTTCATACAGCTTTTAAAAGAATTTTCTCAGTATACCCATCTGATAGTCACACCCTTTTAACTCCTTAGAGCCTGGTATTTTAAGGCCATTTATTTACTTTTTCAGTTGGATTTCATATTACTCCTCCTCTTCATGTACTCCACTTTCCAGGCAAACTGCTAGCCATTCCCTTACTTCTGCATGTTCATTCAGGCCTTCCTTCTCCCATGCCTAGAATACAAGCTCACATCTCTGAGAATATTAATGTCTTGTCTTCAGGGTAAGGGCCGCCACCTCCTCATGTAGTCTTCTCTGAAAACCTCCAACTCAGAATGTTGAATGAAATTTTCTTAAAACATTTTAGATGTCTTCTGCTCCTATACACAAAACAATGCAAGGTGGAGTTGTCATGTCTACCACTGTCAACTCTGAAGGCAGGAATTGTCATTTTTAATCTATTCCCTGAGGATCACATAAGCAGTAGATGCATGTTTGCTGAATATAATTGAAAACAAAGTTCATGTAATTGGTACAGCAGTTAAAATGTGTATGTAAAAAAGCTAAGAGTTAAATAACATGATTTGAGGGCTTTTAGTTTTGAAATGTCAAAGGCCATTACAATTGTAACAAGAACATAACCCAACAAATAGAAAACAAATGCCAGAAAATAGGAAAATTAGCACAAGTTAGGGCTTTAATCCTTTTAAATAATAAATTCAAACAATGTTTTAAAAACCACACCCAGTAGTACTTGGTTCCTAAACTCTGGGAAAGCAGAACTTACTAAGGAATGTAAAATTAAATACATTTGTTGAGATTATTTCAGACACTGATTTCAACATATTTCTACTTTTAAATACAACACTCCAAAAGACTGCAAACATTTTCCCAGATTTTGAGGGCCAAATCAAATTACTTAACTGGCAAAGTGATAGCTGTAAAAATGAAAAGGACTACTAAAAATGGTTTATTTACCTAAAGGTCTGAAATAAAACCCAAATACTGGGAAAATTATTAGTGATAGTTGGATAATATGTAGTACTTAGATATTATTTAAATAGCTTCTTTTTTGAAGTTCACATAATGGTTCAGAATAAACAGCACTATATACATATCAATATATCCCAAGGAAAAGCTAGAAGCCACCAAAATTTTTGGCAGCAAGACAGCAACATAAACAAGGAGCCAAAGTATACTTCTCTCAAAGATTATTATAAAATTTGTTGCAGAGAGAAAATCTGTTGGTTTCATCTAGTCATTTTATAAATTTCAAAGCACTTTTCTCATAATCTTTTCATAGTACAAAAGAAAAAAAAATCCAGGATGATAAAAGAAGTAAAAAACAACAACAAACAAACCCATAAACCTGTCTGGACAGTCACACTAGAATTCCTGGAGGTGTTTTATTCACTGAACATACCTTTTAAGTAGCCAGGGTTATTAACAGATAAAACATTATTCAAGATACTATACATGTACAAGAGTGCCTCAGAGGCTCTGTTTTTCAAATATGCAATACTAAAATCAATTTGCAGAGTTTTCAAATTATTCAGTTCATTAAATAATGCAATTTCAAGACTGGGTGAATTTTCTGTTGGGCCACTGGTTACTTCCATGAAGAGTGAGAAAATGTGAAAAGTGTTTGAAGGAGAAAATATCCATTTAATAAACTGTATGGCATCTGAGTGTGGGGAAGAAAGAGTCAGAAAGTTAGACTGCTATGGTTCTTTAACAACACCTACCAAAGCAGGTCTCAAGGTTCGCCCATGTAGCTTATACCCAACTTTGGTTACTAGTGCAATGGTGCCGGGCTCTTTCCCCTCTACTGGAGTATGGAACAAGGCTTCATGTTCATAGGGATCAAATTTGGTACCAACAGGATCTAGTTTGAGCAAACCATGCTTTTTGAACACTTTTTGAATCTGGATTTCAGTCATGACAAGACCCTCATAGAGGTTCTTCAAATGAGGGTTTTCTTCCTTTATTTCCTCTTTTGGGACACTTGCTGTTGCCTTTTCCAAAATGTCAGCAACTTCTAATAAATCCTTACAAAAACCTTGAATACCTAAAGAAAAAAAATGCAATTGTATTTTTAATATCAACTCAAAACTTTATAATTTTACACAGTAATCTCAAATGTCATCTGTATATGCACATAAGGATAAATTTGTCAGCTAAACAGTATTATGGCAGGATGATACTGTGGGAAGGGCACAGGACTTGGAATTCAAGCCCTGGCTCTGGAACTTAATAGTTGTGTGACTTAGCAAGTCATACCACAGGGACGGCATCTTTTTTCTCTATACAATAGGCAAAATACTTGTATTCCTCTTTCTTCCTTTTCCTACCTGGGATGATGTGCTACAGAAATATGAGATGCCACAACTTCTCTAGGCCTAATTTCCACATCTGTAAAAAAAAAAGGGGCAAAAAACTAGATGATTATGAAGGTGCCTTCTGACACTGACATATGAGATTCTACATGAAGTAAGGTTTATATAAGGGGGAAAAAAGCATGAAAAATTTTAAATATGGCTCCAAATCAGGGAGATTTAGAAAAATAAAGCAACTCTAAGGTTCTTCCAACTAACACTTAGATTGAAAAGATAACTGAAAAGTGATGACAGTATATTGTGGCTGCTGTGGGCAAATAGGCCCGTTTATACAACATTGGTGAGCTATCTGGTTTGGCCATTCTGAAAGTAATTTGGAATCATGTCCCCCAAATTACTAAACTGAGGCCTATTATCCCAAGGAGATCAAAGAAAGAGGCAAAGTTGTTTTCATGTACAGCACGCTTTTTAAAATGGTGGCCAAGAACTGGAAACTAAGGGAGGGACCATTTATTAAAGAAGGGTTAAACAAATGATGGTATATGAATGTAAAATTATTATGCCGTAACATGACAAAATGGATGATTTTAGAGAAATCTAGGAAGCCTTGTATGAAATGTCAAAGTAAATGAGCAGAACCAGGAGATCAATTTATACAATAACATTATAAAGAGAAACAACTTTGGAAGACCTGGGAATCAAGAATGCTACTCACTTCATGACAGGTGATGGATTCGAGATGAATATATGCATTTCTGGACATAGCTAACATGGGAATCTGTTTTGTCTACGAATATTTGTTATAAGGGTTTTGTCATTGTTTTTCTTTTCAGTGGGAGGATAAAGGAGGACAGAAAAAAAAAGATGAGACATCTTTTTTTTTACATGCAGAAAAGAGAACAGAAGGCAGAAAGTTTTGCAGACAAGTACAACAAGTTTTGAAAGTTACAAATCAAATTATTACAGACTTTCTTAAATAGTAAGCTATACATAACAGAGACTTGCAGTTTCATATACAATCCTCTTGTTTTGTTCCTGCTGAATGCCTACTTATAAGTTTAGGTTTTGTGACATGGTCCCTGTCCTTAAGGAGCTTAATTGGGAAGATAAGTCAAATAGATACAAAATTTAAAATAGAATTCAGCACATAGCCACCAAATTACAGGTAGTTTTCAAATTTTCTTACATGTAACTTAAAAAATAAAATGTTCAAATAATAAAGTGATTATTAGGGAAGAGAAAAATAAGAGAATAAGCATTAAGTGCCTACTATATATCAGGCACTGTGACCCTTCGAACTAGGTGCTGTTATTATCCTCATTTTACATCTGAGGAAACTGAGGTAAAAAGTGGTTAAGTGACTTGTTCAAAGAGGAAGTGTCTGACAGTAAACTGAAGCTTCCCGATTCTAGGCCCAGAGCTCTATCCAGTGTGCCACCTAGCTATCAAAGTGATAAAATGATTAAGTAAATGTACTGCCAGTTCTCACCTACAATACTAAGTATAGGTTATTAGAATCCTGAATAATCTTTAAACATGCAACAGGGAATGTATTTGAAAGAGAAAGTACAGTAGATCCGTGACAGTTCATTTATATGTTACTCCTTCCCAGAAATTATCCTCCATTCACCATAGAATGGAGATGACCCAACATTCACAAAAGCTACGCCAGTAGAGTACAAACTAGCAGGGCCTACCAAAATGGAAAGGGCTCAAGTGACCTGGCAGGTGATCGATCAACTATGCTTGTCACTGAAGGACTAGGCTACCCAAGTTAAGGAAGACTTATCAATAATGGAATTCTGAGTACTACAATGACTTTGAAAGGCTGTCCACTCAAGCCTTTGTGAACTAGGCTGTGGACTAGGTCAGTGGAAGGAAGATCCAAACTAAAAATCATTCAACAAGCATTTATTCAGTTAATACTCTTGGGCTGAAGTAATTTAGAGTTTACCTTATAAAATAACTTTTGGCTAGGTAGAGGAAGAAAAAGAAGTCTTTAATATCTGTACTATTTTTCTTTGAGTATATGAATTCAAGAAAAGGTCTTAACATTTTCAAATGTACCCTAGCCGTAAAGTTGAATCCCTACTGGAATAACTAAATTTCCTTTGTATCAACTTTTAAATTCAATGCCATACCTTAAGAATTAAATCTGATCCATTCCAGAGGCCACACAAAATGGCTGAGCTGCTTTCAGAAGGGTAGTAACAGTAGATGGCAAGTGCACTGGCCTAGGCACCTGGCACCCTGGTTCTAGTTTTACCGACCTGGGTGATTTCAGGCAAGCTACTCTCACCTCCCTCTCTGGGCCTGTAAAAGGAGGGTATTAGACCCCATTTCAACAATTCCTTCCAGTTTTGAATCCCATCATTCTAGGTTTATTGGTTCCACCAAATGGCATAACTGTGTATTCTAGCTTAAGTGACAGAAGCCTGAAGCCATCTAATGGCAAATCTCTTCATTCTTCTATTTTGTCTCTTCCTTGTGGAAGGTGCCCCTCTTCTCCATGACTCTGCTCTATAAACCACACGCTCACTTACACATCTTCGATGTCTCCCCTCAACTGGGTCATTTTCAGCCTAAAAACATTGTACTTCTGACTCGTATTTCCTTCCATTTCTCCCTGTGCCTCATTCTTCACAGGGAATAAGCACTGGCTGAGTATTGGCTATGTGTGAGGCAATGTGCTGAACATTTTACCAATACTCCTAAACCTACTTTTTATCCTCAATGCTACCTCCAATCATTTCACTCCATTCCTAGCCTATCATCCTTGCTGCTCTGGCCTCACTTTCCTCCCTTCAAAAACCTTATGTAATGCCTACAACCCGTTCAACTTTACCCTTTCTTTTCTTCAAATCCTATCTGTTCATTTCCAAACTTTCCAACTCCTTGGGCTGCCTGCTCCTCCTCACTTCTGGAAGCAGCCAAATAACCATGCTGACTGGGTCCAATTCAAATTTGTTAACTATTTTCAAATGATTCCTCAATGCTACATGGCAACCTTTCCCTCCACCCTGACTCTCTATCTCCTCCAACAGACTGGTGTCACAATCATCCCCTTGTCTAATTTTCAACTTCACCATATCCTCTGGCTCTTGTTCTGCTGCCAAACATGCCCTTATCTTCCCCGTCACTGAACTCTAGCGTCCTCCCTCCTTCCTTTTTTCCGGTTATATCCTAAAAAACAAAATAAAAATCTATACTCCTTGACTGAATGCTGTCACTTCCTCCTTCCTTCTGAACTCCCATTCTGTCTCTACCACGCAATAAACTGTCCGCTTCCACATCAATCATTTCTTTATTGCTAAATCCAATGGCCTTTGCCTAGTCTTTCGCCAGCATTTGACGACGAAGAGCAGTTTCCTCTCTGGGTCTTCATGACACTGCCCTCTCCTGGGTCTCCTGTCTGCCACATCTTGTCGTTATACACGACGTGACCTAGTCTATTATGTCTCACTACTCTTTATCTTGATGGCCTCAGCACCTCATGAGCTCACTGATCTTTGAGTACAAATCTACAAATCTGTAAAAGGAGGGGATTAGACCCCATTTCAATGATTCCTTCCAGTTTTGAATACTATCATTCTAGGTTTATTGTTTCCAACAAATGGCATAACGGTATATACTTGATACATTCAAAATAGAGCTGTCTTTCTTCTAAAACCCACCCCTTCTAAACGTCCTTATTTCTGTGGAGGGTACTGACTACTACTATTTTAGTCATCCAGGTTAGAAACCCTGGAATCATCTTTGATTCTTCCCTAATGAGGGGGAAATGAGATTTTATATATATTTGGTCAATCTTACTATCTCTGTAAATGTATGGAATCCCTTGTCTCTAATTAAAAGCCACAAAACTTTAAAATATATTGCATCCTTCCTGGTGCCCACCAGTTGCACTTAGCAGCTCTGCAGTATATTTGTTTAATGACAATGATGGGAAGTACATTAGTCCTATTATTTTTTATCATAGCAACACTAACGAGAAATGAAATATATACACGTGTTCTCTTGGGTATTTACTTATACTTGTCAAGAGGAATTAAGTGATTTGGCCAGTAAACAGAATTAGGGCTGAATCCAGGTTCTCAGCATCTAAATCCAATACTAATTGCTTAACATTTACATATAACTACTATGTAAAAATTACGCTTTAAGTGTCAGATTAATTTTGTTGTATACTTCACTTCACCATAACACCAAACTCTGCGTATATAATCCTCAGACACTCCCCAACTCAATCTAAATGTACCCCAGGGAATGCTCCCTTGCATTTGCCCTGTTCCCTTCCCCATTCTGCTCAACTCAGCACCTGCTTCCTTTAAATGTCCCCAACTACAAGTTTTCCAATTATGTTTTCTCACATTAAAAAAAAAAATGGGTAGAATTCCTGTGGAAAATAAGTTATACGACAAGTGTACTCTTGTGAATAAATAAAAACAATTTTTGTATTTTAGAGGATCACCCACCATATAATTTTGCCTCTTCTACTAATTTCTGGCTTCGCCGTCGCAAGTTCTCCGTATCTGCTAAGGCTCGCTTGTACTTCTCCTAAGATAAAGAAAAAAAGTAGATTACTACCTTATATCCCTGCTCCTTTAACAGTAATTAAGAATTGATGGAACTTTCAAGCTAAGGATGGAACAAGATGCCAAACTATAAAACATTTTAATACTGCTACTGCCAAATCCCTCTTTATTAAAAAATAAACATACCCAGGGGAAAAGGATAAAGAATAAGCAAGGATGAAAACCAAAACCTCATTAAATAAAGTACTCACACTCTTTAACTGACAAACGCAGGATATTACTCTAGGGAGATTACAACATTCCAAATTTTCTACTCAAAAGTATCAGCAGAACAACTCATGATGCAAATGGGCATCAAATTTCATTTTCAGATTCTTTTTTGGGTGTGATGCCAAGGAGCTAGGAAAGCTCACCTGGATCTAACCCATCCCTCTCTAACGACCCAGACTTGTTCAATGTCTTAGAGCAAAAAACGTCTAGAACGTAGACCTTCAGGAAAATATTCTAGTTTTAGAAATGACAGTTATTCTGAACTTGACAAGCACCAAATATAAAAACTTCCATAATAAGAACAAAAAAAGAAACTAAATATGAGGCTAAATATCATTACATATACTTTAAAAGTATATATTCAATTAAACAAATTGGTTCTTAATCTTTCTTGTGTTTCCCTCTAAACTTGTTTTTGATCTCTTCTGTGCATTTTCTTAAACTACTTTATTAATATTTTTCTTTCTTTTCTTTTTTTGGCAGGAGGATTATAATCATCTCACAAAGCAAGAGGCAGAACTGGGATGAGAATCTAACAGCCTATGTTACCTTACTCAGTAAGTGCCCTTCAAATATCTTACCAAAGTTTCTTTCAGCTGTTCTTCTAATTTGACCTTCTCTTCAGTTAATGTCTTCTCTGGAGTGGTATTGTCTGTCTTCTGTTCATTTTGACTCGAGTCATCTTCTAAGTTCTGGCCATTATTTTTCTGTTTTGCTGCTGTACAGAGGAGTCTAGAAGAGGTCCTGAATAAAATTCAACAATGTTAATGATTCGCCCACTCTAAAGAAAATGAAAGGGGACCTGTTAAAAATTTTCACTCATATCATTTGCCACAAACATAAGAGGGAAAAAAATTGTCTACTCAAGTCAAATACAGTTAAACTCTTGGATATATAGAAGATGTTATGATTAAACTTATAATTTTAGTTTAAAAAGTACAATGTTGTTCAGTTGTGTCCAACTCTTTGTGACCCCATTTAGGGTTTTCTTGGCAAAGATACTGGAGTGGTTTGCCTTTTCCTTCTCCAACTCATTTTACAGATAAGGAAACTGAGGCAAACAGGCTTAAGTGACTTGCTCAGTCACATAGCTAGTAAGTATCCAAGGCCAGATTTGTACTTAGGAAGATGAGTTCAATCCTCTTTAGATGCCAGTTTGATAGGAGTAATGGCTTTGCCCCTCAGAGCTAAAATAGTACCCTCCTTTGTATCCCTTCTTTCCTTGGATATTGCAACCACCCAGGTGTAGGCACTCACCCCCTCATGCCTGGGCTATTCTAACCCTACCTCAAGTCTTTCCATAATCCAATTTGTTCTCTACTTAGCCATCAAAATGATCTTCCTAAAGTGCAAATCTGACCATGTCATCCCTTATTCAATCAGCTCTAGGGGCTCCCCATGGCCTCTTGGATCAAATATGAAATCCTGTTTGGCTCACAAAGCCCTCCAAAACCTGGCCCTTTCTTACCTTTCCAGTCTTGTTACAGCTTATAACATCCTCCAAGCCTACTTTATAAATCAGTGACATTGGCTTTCTTGCTGTTCCTCACATGAGGCACTCCATTTCCCGACTTCAAGGGCTTAGCCCCACACCTGGAATGCTCTCCCTTCTCATCCATTTCCAAGTCCTGCCTTTCAATTGTCTTTCAATTCTCAGCTTAAGTCCTTCCTTTTGCAAGAAGTCTTTCCTAGTTCTCCTTTATGTTAGCACCTTCCTTCTTTTATCTCCAAGTTTTCCTAGTATACATTTTATTTGTACATGGTTGTGTGCTTATTGTCTTCCCCATTAGACTGTCCTTGAGATCAGGGACTGTCTTGCCTTTCTTTGCGTAAGTGCTGAGGTGCTTAGCAAAGTGCATGGTACATAGCTGGCACTTAATAAATGATAGTAGGCTGACTGTACTATTCATAGACAATTATATGTTGTCCTATTATTGTCCTGAACTATTAAATTTTCATTTAATCATAGAATGTCAAAGAGGAAAGGAACCTTAACTCCTCTAGTCTAATTTCTCATCTAATACAGGAATCTTTTCTCTAACATCCCTGACTGACAATCACACACAACACCTGAGTACTTCTAATCAGTCAGTAAGCATCTGTTGTTAAGTGCCTACCATGTACCAGGCACTACACAAAGCACTGGGGATATGAAGGGAAAAGACAGCTCCTGTCCTTAAGCTCATAATCTAATAAGGGAGACAACATTCTAAAATATATGTACAAACAAGTTACATACAGGATAAACAGGAAATAATCAACAGAAAGAAGGTTCTAGGATTAAGTAGAATTGGGAATGGCTTCCTGTAGTAGATGGGATTTAAGCTGGTTAGTGAAGGAAGCCAAGGAAGCCAGGAGGAAGAGATGAGAAGGGAGAGCATTCCAGGTCTGAGGGATAGCCAGAGAGCATGCTTGAAGCTGAGAGATGGAGGGAATGGCTCAAGGAATGACAGGGAGGCCCATGTCTTGATTAAAGAGTATGGGGTAGGGTGGGGGAAGGAAGTGGTAAGAATGTAAACATGGTTAGGAAGAGCTTTGAATGCTAGAAGGTTCAGTATTTTAAGGTCGAAGTGACAAATAGCCACTAGAGTTTAATGGGGGGCAGGAGTGGGGAAGGTGAAGAGTTAGGGTGTGGGTGTGTGATCTGCACTTTAGGAAAAAAACTTTGGCAGCTGAGTAGAAAATGGACAGGTGTGGCAAAGAACTTGTAGGGAAAGCATGAGGAAATGAGGGTCTAAACCACGGGAACCGTATTTGAGAGATGTTAGAAATGTGAAATCAACAGGTCTTGTCAACAGATTGTATATGAGGAGGAGGAGGATGTGTGTGTGAAAGATTAGCAGTGAGTTGAGGATAACACCAAGGATTTGAGCCTGGGTGACTGGGAGGATGGGGGTGCCCTCAATAATAATAGGGAAGTCTGAAGGGGGCAGTTTGAGGGGAAAGATAATGAGTTTAGTTTTGGACATGTTGAGATTGAGATGTCCAACAGGCATTTGAAGACTTGAAACCAGAGGTCAGACAACTGACTTCTATGATAGAGTCCTATTCATAATTTCACAAGAGCCGCCTCATTCCATTTTGGGGCAACTCAAATTGAAAAGAAACTAATTTCTATATATTAGTTAAAAGAAATCTGCCTCCCTCTACCTTCTACCTATTGGTTTAAGATTTCCCTTTTGGGGCAAGCAATTTATTCTCTTTCATTTTAAGAGCCAGATTACATTTTTAAAGACAGTTTAAGGCTAATCACTGGCAGAAACAAGATTAAAAACTGTGGTATAAAGACTAAATTCAGAGCTCTTAGGGTTCAAAGTAGAGAAGGGGAAAATTACAGTAAAAGTTTGCCCACAAACATTTTCCCAGAGATTTTCCCTAATGACCTAGCTCAACCCATGAGTGACTTGCTAAAAAAAACATTTCCACTCAAGCTTTGCTTACTCTATTTTTCACATCAAATTAGTCATTACATATTCAACACCACTCATGGAGGTGGAGGATGGTTTTGTAAAGTTTTAGTCTACGAAATGGACTGAACCTCATGATGATAAATGCTAAGAGTGCCTTATATTTCTTTGTATCCCCTACAGTAGCACTGAACATGAAAGGTGTTCAAAAACTATTAATGGTAGGCTTTCATTAATTGTCAATTTAACAAGCTATCCTCTAACCAACCTAACTCTAAGAGGCAAACAACTTTTATCGAGGAGAGAGGTCAGTGGGCTTGCCCTTATGACCCTTGGACTATAGTGCACTTTTAACTGTTACTAGATGTAAACTCCTATGTTAGTATAACATCTGTGTCCTTGATTTCCTAGTGTGAAGGTGAACACAGTTCAGCATTTTCACAACTGTATCAAAAAGCTCCCTCCCTTCCCTCAATTTGGTGACCTCAGTTGAAATAATACTAACTCAGCACTATATTAAAGTGTCAAACAATGTTTTAGGTGTACCAGAGAATTTCTGGGTATGAAATCTGCCTCAGTTGCTCTAAAAATACTTTGTATTTCTCAAATGTATTTTAAATGAGATAAATTATGTTCAGCGTACATATGTATTTACTCTTATTAGATTTAAAGCCACGTTAGGGAACATTATGGAAAGATTTTAGTGATCTTTATACCTTAGCAAGAAAATAGCTCCGCAGAATAACAGGTGTTACAATGTTGATTTGAATCAGCCCTTCCAGGTCGGGACAGAGAGTAGGCTTGAAGTACTTGGGAGCAGAGATTGGGTGTGTGTTTCGTTTTTTTGTTAAGGAAATTGGGGTTAAGTGACTTGCCCAGGGTCACACAAGTGACTACTAAGTGTCAAGTGTTTGGTCTGAGGCTGCATTTAAACTCAGGTCCTCCTGACCTCTGGGCCGGTGCTCTATCCATTGCACCACCTAGCTGCCCGCAGAGATTGTGTTTTTAAAAAAATATTCACACAGAATGAAAGAGTCGACCTAAAACTTTCTAACAAACCTAACTCCTTTCAACGGAGAGGTAAGGGTGGAGACCTCTCTGGTGGTCCTCATTACATCTGAAACTATTTTACTACTCTACTGGACAGGAAGCTACACAAAGGCAAGGGTCATGTCTTATTTATCTTTGTACTTTCCCTAGAACTGAGAAGTTATAGTAACTTCGCTGCGTGTGAGCTCCATTCATTATTAAACGCCTATTATATTCGAGATAAAAATTTCTGGTTTCAAGGAGCTTATGGCCAAATGGGGGAATACAACATGCACAGATACAGCTCACGTAAAATAACACCTCAACATTTACAAAGTACTTTTCTCACAATCCTGTTTCCCTGACACAAGCACTATTGTTCCCATTTTGCAGATGAGGAAAACGTAGCTCCAAAGGTTTCAGTTACTTGCCCGGGGTCACACAGCTAGTGTCAATCACAGGGCTTCCACCTTCAAAAGCTGGGTGCTCTTTCCACTACACCCTCGCTGCTGCTGCAAAGAAGTCCAGACAGCGTGCTATGAAGCAATCTGAGAACACCACCCACTATTCAAGGAGCCTGTGCTTTTTCACTGGGGGTGGGAGAAGGGGGCACAGCCAGAAGTTTTTTCTTCTCCCAAGTTTAGGGTCAGGAGGGAGGAGCATGAGACTCAGCCGTGGGCAGGGTGGAGGGGATCGGACGTTAGGTGAGGGAGCGTGGAGCTAGGCTGGAAAAGCAAAGGAATGGGGGATGGGGTGAAGCGGGCCTGGGAGGCAGAAAAAGAAGAGGGAGCCCAAGTGAACCCACACCCGGGACAGTCGTTGCTGCTGGTGGGAGCCAGGAAGGGCAGAAAAAGCGACGGGACAGACGAAGCCTGGGCCAACCCGGAGCCGCTACCACCTCCGGGAAGAAAGGCCGGGCACTCCGGCCCCGCGGTTCCCAAAGCCCCTCACGGTCCCGGTAGGCCCCTTCCCTCTCGGTCAGAGACCGAGGACTACCTGTCTTCCGCGACAGCGCGAGAGGAGGGTGACAGGAAGACGAGGACCCAGTCCTCCCCTTCAATGGAGAAGCCTACAGCCTCTTACCGAAGAGAGAGAGCGATCGCCGGGAAAGTCCGCCGCACCAAACCCGAGCACTGCGCCGCCATGACCACCCCCTCAGCCCCGACTTGCCCCCGATACTGCGCACGCGCAACGGCACGCACGTTCGCATCAGCAGAGTATCGTCCTAGCGCGAGACGAACGCGCATCCACTTGGGCTCGCGGCCACAGTCCTAACCAATTAGATCGTGTCAATCCCTTAATGGACAGAAGTTATTTCACCAATCCTCGTGTACTATGGGCGGAGCTTCCCGATTGTGGGCGGGGTCTGACGACGGAATGCGAGAATCTTCTCCGTCATTCCCTACCTTCCCGTAGTTAGGCAGAGAAAGAGGGGAAAGGTGACGGGAGGCGGGGGGAGACTTTCCGGGTCTGGGCGGAAGCAAAGCGAGAACCAATAGAGGGAACGAGAGTGGGGAGAGCAAGAGAACGGCTAGACCAGTACACGTGCCGTTTTGCTGGTGGGGAAATAACGGCAACGCCGTCCCTGGAAAGGACCTTTGCAGACATTCAGTCCTGCCCTTTTCGTTGTATTTTGGAAGAAACACGCTTGAAATTGAAATGGAAAATGCCAACAACTCACAGCCCTGTGGGACCCATCAGCCCCAACAACTTGATGAGATAGGAAGGGCACGTGACGGGCACAGAGCTAGTAAATGTACGAGCAGATATCACAAATCTGGCATTCGGTTGCTAATTCACTTTTCGACAGCCAAGCACACGTATACACTTAAGTAATGCAAGATAGATGAGGGTATGGAGGAGAGGTCTATACCGTGTGCTCCAGGACAGTTGGCGGAGATAACAGCCCTGGCTGGCGGAATCCGGGAAGGGAAACTTCTTGAAAGAAGTGGATGGAGAAGGATTTCAACAAGCAAAGACGGGGAGGTCATTGACTATAGCAATGCACAAAGGCCAGAGGAGGGCAGTATGGGATTGGAAAACAGCGCTGATCATATGAAGCACTGAATCTTATGAAGCCTTCAAAACGGTAAAATTAAATAGAACCGTTCTGTTTATATAGTAAAGGACTCATTTGAGTTCATAGAGATTCTGGAGACCTCGTCTCGTGCCTTTAGCAGGAAGATGAATTGTACTTACTCAGGTGGAACTTAAGAACTTGGGCTCCCTTTTATGTGTCTTCCTCGGCTAGAATGTAAACTCTTTGAGGAGGGACTCATTTTGTTTGTTTTTATTTCCAGTGCTTAGCACTATGGCATAGTAAAGCCTAATACGTTTTCTCATTCTCTTCCACCCCCCAAAAGATCAATCACTGTTCATATTAAGCATCTAAGTTTAAAACTTAAATGGTTTAGTTAAATAGCTTTACTTACACAGTATATCTCAAATCTGAGTCCACAATCTGGAGACCATCCCGCATTCTGTTATTGTTTGATTGTTTGGCCAGACACCTGTATACAGATTTACAATTCTACTTTGGATGGACTCCCAGAAAGGCAGAAAGCTGAAATCTACTCCACGCTGTGCCCACCTGCTCTGAAGAGCTGGTAGCTATCTTCCCATTGACATTGGACACCTGTGCTATCACTAGTGTCCATTCCAGAAAGATAGTGAGTCCTCATTGTTGTCAGTATTCTTACTGGCAACATCTGGGTCTCCCTTGAGCAGCTTGAGTGATTATACCAGAACCTTAGCTGACAGTTTTATGTGACTTTGCAGTTTCCAAAACAGTAAGTGCTTCTCTTATAATAAATGTTAGCTATTATTAACATTATTATTATACCTGGTTCCTACAGCTCCACCCTCCACAAAAAGGATTTCTTGAGATGACTTTCTTGGGTTGTTCAAATAGATCTCTTTTTCTTTCTAAGTTTGCTTGTGGTGTGTCCATAACCATTTACCCCATCCCTCCACCAGCATTTGAGTGATTTGTCTCACATTCACCTAAGTTCCTACTATTGAATTTTTTTGGAATCTGGAGATGCATTCATTATTCTTCTAAGGTAGCTGGGTTGGATTGTGGGCATTGCCCCTGGCTGCTCCTTGGAGATCTCCAAAAAGCAGAGAGAGGGAGAGGAGAGCCATTGGCTTGCAGTAGCTGCTGCCAGAGTAAATAACCTATGACTCAGAGGGAGAAGGGGAGCCCCTTCCTACTTAAGTAGCTACTATGTAGAAGGCTCTAAGCTAGACCCTGCTGCAGCTTCTTGAAGGCAAACCATCTTGGCAGGCAGGCTAAGCCAGGTTGAGGGTAACCAATAGGCCTCAAACCTATCAGTGAGTTGAGGGCATGTCTACCCCAAGCTTATGAAGAGTTCTCCCTGACAAATGGGCAGATGAGAACAATTTGTTGTGGCAGCTGAAGCAGGCCCTGTAGAGTATTTAGAGCTTGGTCAGATATTGGAGATGCCAAGATCATCCACTGTATCCTGGGCCTCAACAGTTGTCTTGACTTTTATGTTGCCACTGGACTTCCATGTCTCTGGAAGAGTGAGGCTGACAACATTGGGCAACTCTGCCTTACTTAAATTCACTCACAAGTCAAGACATTACCCTAGAATGTCATTGGTCCTCTTTGAAAATGAAGGACAAACAACAACATGATAGACTCTGGGAAGAAAAAGGAAATAATTTCAGACTTCAAGGAGTTTATGTTCGACTTTGGAAGTGAGGGGAAAACAACATATATACAAGTAAATATCATATGAAGTGGGAAGTGATGGAGGTAAAGGGAAGATTCAGAAAAAGTGCTGGGAGACTATTTAGGGATCAAGAAAATACTTTGAGCTGTGAAGGTTCTATAAAAGAGGTAGCACCAGAGGTAAGAAAGAGAAGAAAGAAGATAAGGATTCTGAAAGGAAGAAAAGGGCTTAGAATCTGGGCATGGAGGGCAGTCTGTGTGATGGTGCAGAAACAGAAATGTTGATTACTAGTTGATCTTGGTATGCCAGTGTTTAAAAAGGACTAATGTGAAATAAGGCTTGAATGGGAGGTTGGAGCCAAGCTAAGGAGTTTGTGTTTTATCCTAGAGGCAAAAGAGAGCTACTTATGATGAAGTAGGCCAGTAAATCAGCCAGTATTCAAAGAGAGTGCCCTTTGGTATATTTTACCATTGTGCAAACAGTTGAATTTTGGTGTGGCCTGAATCATTTGCCAGCCTCATAACATCACTCAGAATTCACAGTGAGTGAACAATTAGGGAATTTAAGAAATCTCAAACCAATTTTAGAGGTACTTTGAAAATGAGAAGTTCTAGACCTCCAACCAGACTGTCGTGTCCTTACCAGCTTTTATTAATTAGCACTGTTTCCATATGTTTAGTACTTTAAAAGATTCATGATTTTATCAGTCTGGGTGCTCCTACTTGTGCAGATCTTAATATTTCTATGCTTTGGTTAAGAGTCTTCATGGGATTCTGTGGCCAAAAAAAATTTGTCCCCTAATGATCTGATAAGTCTCTATGTACTTAGCTTTTTTAAACCAACACACATTCTCACCAAGCGCATAGTCCCAGTGACTAAACACTGTGCTGTGCACAATAGTAAGTATTTATGCCTCCTATAGACAGTCCAGAACTTGGGTTTCATAGAAATTACCTTTTAAGGGGCAACTAGGTGGTGCAGTGGATAGAGCACCGGCTCTGGAGTCAGGAGAACTCGAGTTCAAATCTGGCCTCAGACATTTGACACTTACTAGCTATATGACCCTGGGCGAGTCACTTAACCCTAATTGCCTTGTCTTCCTCTCCCCAAAAAATAGCTTTTTAAGAACCTAAGGTAACTCCTTGCCCACCTAGTGGCATCAAAGGAGAACTTTAATGAAAGGGAGATTATCAAAATCAACTCATTTCAATTTACAGATGGGAAAATAGATGGCCGAAAGGAAAAGTGACTTGCCAAAGGCTATACAGCTTATTAGTACTAGAGCTTGGACCAGAACCCAGTTGTTTTTAAAGGCCAGGCCAATGTATTTTCCACCATTGTGCACTGCTTGGCCATACTGTATAATATTTAACCTGGTTATGATAAAATACCAGTGCTTCATGTTCCCCCAGTGAAAAAGAAATAGATCCTATAAGGGGAGATTTTTTTCTCCTTCTTTGTTCTTACACTCTTTCATCTTCATTTTTATCTCTTCTCTCCAATGTGAGTTCAACCTCATTTGACAGACAGACCCAGAGAGGGGAAAGAACTTGATCAAGTCATATGACAACTAAATGGCAGAGCTGGACTTAGCACGCTGCTTGGTGCTTTCTGCACACAGTGGACATGCCAGCTAATGACATTATTCAAGTGATGGATGGACGTGTTAGATAGCACAGGGCCAAGAAGAGTTAGTTACCTTGGGCATCAGCTCCAGTTAGTCACTTAGATTTCGTCTTTTCCAACATGAGGATACTTCTGCTTGGCAGAGAAAACCGAAGCAAAATAAAAGTTGAGCAATTCAGTCTTCCCTCTGTTATCAGTTATCGGTGTCTCACCTCCCCAAGCAGAGGCTCAATCCCTTCTTTTATCCTCCTCATTCTCCCAATATTGCTTTAACAAGCAACTTTTTTTGTTGTTGTTGCTGTCCTTCGCTCCCCTCACAAGCCTAGTTCTGAGCATTAGGAGTAGTTACAATATTTTTTCCAAGATCATTCTGCTGTTATGTTCATCCTCTGTTATCTGCACTTGCTTTCATCTTCTACACATTTCTTTAAAAAATCTAAATTGGTCAGTGGGGTCCCTCTACATTCACATTGATATCTTCAGACAACTGTCATTTGTTTTCCTCATTGGAGTTATTTCTTTTTGTGTCTTCAGAACTTCCGCTGATGATTAGAAGAAAAGGAAAAGAAAATTATTTGTTCTAAAATATTTATAGCAGCTCTTTGTGGTGGCAAAGAACTGGAAATTGTAGGGATGCCCACCAATTGGGGGATGGTTGAACAAGTTGTGCTATATGATTGTGATGGAATACTACTATGAGGGGCAGCTAGGTGGCACAGTGGATAGAGCACCGGCCCTGAAGTCAGGAGGACCGGAGTTCAAATCCAGCCTCAGACCAAACACTTGACACTTACTAGCTGTGTGACCCTGGGCAAGTCACTTAACCCCGATTGCCTAAAAAAAAAAAATAAA